TTAGCATGCAGCCGACATTTCTTGCATGTCTGGTACGATTACGATTTTGTCCGCTGAGAAGCTCAAACCCGCGCCACACAGTGTAAGGTCCAGAAGCATTGACACTCGACCCACACCACCGGGTCTAGGGTAGTGATCATATATCGTCCTCTCCAGTGATTTTTTTGGGATGACACGGCAGTTAATCCGTTTATATTAAAATACACTTGTGCCATAACAAAAACCCTTTTGAGATGCTTCATTGAGACTTTCTATTCTCTGACTATCTTGTCAAGATCAAATCCATTGTTGATTTTACCAATGCAACTATTCCAGGCTTACTCAAGTGGTTTCTTCTAGTGAATTATTTGCATAAAATAGAGTATATTATGCCGACATGGAGCAATCGCTTCTAGAATGCATGTCACATAGAGTTGGGGTGCGAGAGATTAGGCGGGTTGAGAAAATCCTAATTAAGCCTTTAATTTTTGCCCATCCAGTTAAAACGCTCATTTCATGTCTGTGGTGATACGTCGCCTTTGGTGAAGGGTTCGCTCTTCTCAGGCAGGTGCCAATGGGCATAAACGCATCAAAACGTTCAAGTACCGCCAGCTTTAAGTGGCAGCAAAAAATACCTAGCTCATGATAAATGAACACGTCATCTCTCGGTACGAGCGCTTTTTCAAATAACAGCATCAGTCGAGTTGGCAATACAAGCGTTTCAGTGCCTGTGAGACAAACAATGTTTTCTCTTTAAGGACCAAAAAGCCGACGGTTGTGACTGCACTTTCAACGTTCAAAATGCTCTCGATTGCGTCGTCTTCGTCAGGTATGCGGCAGTCAAAGAAGCATACGACCCCGTCTTCGGACGCTGTGAGCGGCGTTGGATGCAGGTTTGCGTCAACAACATTGTGAGCTCTCGCCGAGTTTAGGATGCGTACAACGTACGGGGACTGTGCAGCATGTGTTGCACTTTTAAGGCCGATTTTTTTGTGTTTATTAAGAATATGTGCCGCTTTATCGAAGCGTTGATTGCACATTTGCACCGATGAAGTTTAGATTATTTATCGCTCATGAGGGTCTCATGTACAGATTACTGTACGAGACACGTGATGATTGGTCTTTTTGGTATAATAAGACTCGGTGCTTGATACGTGATGCCACCCAACAAATATAAAAAAGTCGGTAAGCATGTGCTTGCGCACGTGTGAAACGTTTTTAAACAAATGACATCTCACCACTGCGGCTGCGCCTTAGGTCAGTGTGCCGGCTCTGACAAAGAGCTGGCAGCCCGTAAGCATAGTTTATTTTGAACTTTTATGCAGACGCATCCGGTTATGGCAATGAGGACTTCGTGAACTATCTGAACAAAATTGGTTATTTTGCTGCTGTCAACCACAACACTACCGGCGAGGAAACAGACAAGCTGTTCCTCAGAATTTTTGTCAACTTGATTTGCCGGTGGCCACTGTATTGGATCGAATTCTCCGCTTTACACCGAAACTCTTGCAAAGTTTGTTTAGAACGTCCTCGCAACAAATTGAGCATTTCACCCGCTGACCGTAACGCCACAAAGTGGCTTTGATCATCGTGGGATGAGCTGTCAATCATATTCAAATTCCTGATATCAGAGCGGCTACACTTCGTAGCAAATTTGTTCTAATATCAATAGGATTGCCAGAGACAGCTAGACACGCGCGAGTATGTAGCAGGGCGTTTATTTTGAACGCGATGAATTGTCAAAAGCATGCAGTCTCTGCAGTCTTGAAGACTAGGTTGTGACTACCGTTCGCGGTTGTAGTAAAAAGATATTATCAAGTTGCACTCTTTACAAATCTAAGAGAATAGAAACACAATTTGTGTTCTACGTGGCATTAGTAAAGATATATCACGAGCCAGTCGGATGTGAAACGTGTCTGTACAGGCATTAGACGCTACATAGCCTTAGCTTTGAGGTAGCGACACGAATATAGTGCGATGACCTGTGGTTTGAGAGCAATAGGTCTACATGTAAAGGCCGACGCATCGACGTTTGTGGGCTCTGACCCAGCGCGACAAGAAGCTTCAGGCGGCTTGAAGCGCAATGTCGATGTGATAAGAGGAGTGTCCGCGAGTCTTACGTTGGCGAATAGGTAAGCTGGACTTTCTGAGCTAAGTCTAGCTAGTTGCTGACGTGCTGGGATATCGTCAAGTCCCTCGGTGGGGTGTCGCAGCACTTGGCTTTGTTTTAAAGGGCACGAAGTACGTAATTCATGCAGAAAAAACAGTGAGCACCTGCTTTTTGTCGAATGTGTCGTTGGGTGAAGCCGGCAATCTTGGTCACGACGCGAAAAACCAATTTGACCCTCTCATCGGAGGACACCCCGGCATCTTTACCCAGAATTACTTTTGGCGTATCGATCGCGAGAACCGCGCCTATTTTGGGGGATTGTTTGGCTGATGTCTGAGAGAACTGAAAGCGAATCCCGGTGCAAGTATGCCCTGAAGTGCAGGCACGACATCTACAAAGGGTGAGGTAAGTCGTTAAGCAAAGTCGTTGCTCCTGAGCCATCGCTTTTGCGCAGTGTCTTTAAATGACGGTAATCGCGTGAGATCCAAAGTCTCCCGCGACTTGGTGAGGGTGTGACGGCATGTACTGTAGTCTTCTATGCTAACATCCTAAACTTTTGGAACCAAAACAATAATTCACATTTGAACGAAATACGCATTGCACTTTTGTTGTCACGAATGTTCATACGTGTTTATGAAGATAGGTCCGTGGTTGCACTGTGGCTGCCAGCCGCACATAAGACCGTTTATTTTAAATATTAGTCTAACGCACATTCATGCGTTTTAGCCTGCAGAATTCATTCTAAACATACCCCCGAATTAGTATAGCTTACTAGACCAAATTAGGTTAGAGGCTCTTGGGCTTGAAGCGTACAAGCCAACTTCTATGCATTTGTGCATAGGCTTGAAGCGTACAAGCCAACTTCTATGCATTTGTTACAGCGGGTTCCGAGAGAATTATGGCATATGTGCAAATTGCACGGATATCTCGTTGCTGCATGCGCCAAACACTGCTCATACATGACTCCTTGAAACGACGACTGATCCACTGAATCATCTCGGCGTCCTCCGTACTGAGGTCGCGTTGGTATTGTCATAATTATCTGCAGCTTAACATTCAGTATCAGCAAGGCGTTTAGTGTCGTCAGCAGAGCTCATATGCTCTTGTTCACTAAGCTTGACAGACGAATAAGGATCGTCCAAGATATTCCCTCGTTGTACGTCAGCAAAGTAAAACAGATTATTGATATAGTTTATATCAGAAATAATCACCCCATCACTATTTTCAAGACAATGAGCCTTTGTGTGCTTGACGTTAAAACACAGTCAGCTAGCAGTCCACCAAAATTCGAAGCCAACGGCAATGCTAGAGCGCTCATTTGGTAGCAATTTCGTAATGTATCTACTGAAAAAGAAAAGCGAAAAATACACCCTTTCAAGCAAATCTGGTTCATGGCTCGCCGCCAAAAGAGGTACACAAGAGAATGTTTGACTTGCAGTTGATCTTGCACAATTTAATGGTGCGGGTGCAAACGACTACACAAGTCAAGTTTTGTCTTACTTGTCGCAATTTTTCGAGTGTCTATTCGCTCGACGGCAAACCTAGTGTTGAGATTAGTAAAGCACAGTTTCTTACTACAAGATTGATGCTTTTACAAAAAACCAGGACTTAAGAAGTGAAAGATGAATGCAGATGTAATCCTGCAGTTTTTAATTTCCTAAGGCGATGGACTTGACCTTTCGTTTAAGCTGTGATGTTATGCGAACTCAAAACGCATTGAAGTGAGGGGACACAGCAAGCAAGATAAAATTGTCCTAATAGGCCAATTAGGGTAGATTCTCAATAAGTGATGATAACCAATTTTTCTTGCAGCGCGTTCAGACGTTTGAGCAAATTCGAAGTCTACATGTTGATTGCGGCATGAACAAAGTGAAGAGATAAAGTACATGATATTATCAACACAGGCTCCTAAATTGTGTGGATCAGAAATCTGCAACGAGTCTCCTTGTCCAGTACTTCATTATATCTGTAGCAACGCTGACTGGCCTTCATCCAGTTTTGCTTCAATTCTTTTCATAGCAACTTAAAGTTTCTCCATTATGGCCAATAGTGTTTATATTCGAACCATATGCGTGTGAAGTTGCCGACGGTGATTCAGCACGCTACCAACCGAGGTCACTGCGACTCTTCCTGTATATACGCATCGTGGACGAAGCTTATGCGTGAAAGATTGATCTACAGGAGGTGAATGTGCAATTAAGTTGTTAACATCAAGACTCTCTTCAGCTTTTGAAGCATTAAGCGACCCACAACAATTGTGATCGTTGTCTATAACTCTTGAGCCGAGACATTGTGTTGAAAAGAGTTTTAAGTTAAACGAATCCGCACGATCGATCATAAACACTTGGCCACAGAACCCGTGAGTCTCACAGCTTCGGCCAGTATCACCGAAACCACACTGGACAACTTCAACGCCTGTTATAGAGGCTGAGGATTCTTTTAGCAACGCTGCCATAAATCTTGCATATCGGAAGCCTTTTACGAGTACCTCCCCGTGATATATCTCTAACAACACAACAAATGACATAAAGTGTTCAAGTTGCATATCATACTTTGAAAATGGCATCGTAAGCGAAAATGATTATATGAAATTGAGGTGGGGGGCTCAAATGTTGTCCATCACTTTTGATTGGATAAGCTAAAGTTGGGGAAGCAGCTTATTGGCAAATGCGGTAGTCACATGCGGAAGCTCAATTAAAGAGGTTTGATAATAGTATTGACCAATCCATATGTACAAATATAGTTCCAGAACTATTCTCATATAAACCAGTACCTCTTGTAAATATCATACATCCCTTCGAACTCCTCTACAGATTGTATGATTGTAAGAGACCTAGTTAGCGATATTGCTAGATTTTGTACAAAGGCTGTTAAATGTGAAAGAACTCGTATTATATTTGTATAATCGGCATTATAGAATAAGCCAAAAATCTGATACTACATTAACAGTGGATGCGAAAAAGTAATACTCCAAGACAGATGGTCTGGACTCAAACAGAACCCATTACTTACCGTTTGCAACCCTACCGCTGTGCTGTACCTCCCTCTTTCCTTTTGTAGGTCCCCAAAACGGCCTGACTAGAAGGAGATAGCGAAATCTAAACGAGATCAACTTGTGGAATGAATGACCGAAAGTATCCAGGTTAAAGTTGTAGCGCAAATCTATCCATGATAAAGGCGTGCGCAGGTCTCACAGCTCGTTCGTCATGCCGGCAAAATATTTTTCAGTGTTAAGGCTTTGATTCCTTACTGTGGCTGTTTATAAATTGATCAGGAGTGAGACAGTGAACATAATCCGATAACAGAACATAGTAGCAATACTATCATTTTTTTCAGCTGTCTGAATTGATTTTTTCAATATTTTAGCGTTCCTGATGTGTAGCATATGAAAATCAGACCGGACATCAGGATAAATCGATTAAGTCGATTACTGTTCAAAACACGCGGTCTTCACCACTCTGTCGCCATTCCTCCACCAAAGTAGACGATGAAGTCAAAGCAGCCAAAGTGGAAGGAGTTTCACTGTCCACCACTATCGGAATCACGCAAGGATCAGATTATTCGCGAGGCCCATCGTGCGTGCAAAGAATTACTACGTTTCTCAACAAGTGATGTTGTTAACATTAACAGCACAGACTCGAGTCTTGATTGCGAAGAAGAGCATTTGCACTACGGTCTTAAATGGGAATTTACAGAACAGATGGAGAGCATTCGTGTGGAGAAAGTCAGAGTCAAATCTGAGACTAAGAAAAGCGTCTACTATTTTCGAGGGATCACTCAGATGGAGTCCAGGATCGAGGAAATTATGGAACTTTACGACGTAGACATGACACATCCTAACATGCAGCTGGAAAAAAAGTTGTCGCCGGATATTTTACACTCGATCGTGCTGTACGAGATTCAACCCTACCGTTTAGATAACAGTACCGTTTTCATCGGAATACGCTGGTCAGCTTTGCGGTCTCCTTACGTCATGATACGGAATCGTGACTTTTGCTGCCTCGAAATTCAGCGCCGCCTTACATTGGCCGACGGTCGACGAGGCTTTGTTCGATGTCTGCACTCAGTCAAGATCAAGAGCTGTCCGGATATGGAAAAGTCTCATGGCTTTGTAAGAGGCAGTATCTATCGCTCAGGTACGGTGTTCATTGAGAACAAGCGCGACCGCAAGACACTTGACATTGTTCAAGCAGTGTACACCGACTTGAAAGGAAATGTACCACAGTGGGTAGCGGTCAAAGGATTGCGACGAAGACTCATGAGTTTAGAGCATTTAAAAAAATACGTTCACATGAAGCGCGTTGCCAGTCAAACCTTTGCGCGTCGAAGCGAATTAATGTCACCAGGGAACGTCAAGACGTGTTTTGTGTGTGTGGACGATATTGGCACGTTCAAAAGGCGATATAACTGTCAAAAGTGTGGCGAGGTACGTTTGGACTTTGATAAACGAGGTTTCTCTATCGATCATCCTATTTCTCTTCTTGGTAATCTAATGAATCGTTATGTCGTCATTACTTTGCAGGTGATCTGTGCCCGTTGTAAACTAACTATCAATGCAGATATTCCAGTTGTTGGCAAGATGAAATTAACAATATGCAGTTTGTGCTCGCTAGCCATCAATCGCAGTGCACTACCAGACAACAGTTCGGACGAAATTGATGGGCTTAACCACAGACCATTCTCAGCGACAATTCAGCCGACTTATGAACACTTTGGATGCGAAGATCATGCGCCCATACGCAAGCGGGCTTTGAGTTTCAACTCGTTTCACACGGCAAATTTCGATCACACGTCACTGCAGAGTTCGGTCTTAGCTCGTGAATTCTAGAAAAATATATACTAGAGAAAGATATCTATACTTTTCAGAATTTTATGCTATTTAACTTAACAGCATAGAAATGGGAAGCTTATGTATATATGTTGTACGTATGAAAACATACATTAACACATTGGCTTAATTTTGTGTGCTCGAAAATGCTCTAGCCAAAACTTATTGAAGGAATATATAAGTGATAAGCGAAGGCTAAAATCTTTTGAGCGATATTTATAAGAACACAACTTGGTCCATTGGATATAGTGCCATAGAGTATCCAAAAACTTCTTTTTGATAACCTTAGGTGCCACTGCTAAAAAAACGCAGGATACCTTCACAAACCGATTTACAAATCACAAATCATCTTTTAGTAATAACAATGCGAGGTATGAGAATGATGCAATTATGATCATTACTTTACGTGTAAATATAGTATGCACTACTGTAATCATCGTGGCTTTCTATATATCTGAATTATGCAGCGACAGGCAAGACTACGACACCACGAAATATCACCCAAAACAAGGCATCAGCATTGACACCTCATCCTGCCATTGCTGTGCTTGCTTAAATGTCGTACGTGTGCTAGAACCAAAGGACATTGGAGCGTTTATTTGCTCTCAAATGCTGAATACGATCCTTAGCGTACCCCCAGACGTCGATTTGCTTGCCCAGATCGTGCTGTTGAAAGCGATAAGCGCTGATGGCACACGCTAAGATAATGGTCTCTTGATAGTAACACAATTCAAGGCATGGTGCTTTTGGAGTTGAAATACAACAGAAAAAGTGGTCGCATGAACTGTCGACAGTGCTCCCGACACAAATAGGCAAAGTAGAGTTGATACAAGAATGGCGATCGGTATATTGCTGCAAAACATACATGACTTAAACATGTAACTACACTGGCTATGCAACAGGGAGTTAGTGTTGGCACTGATGCATTCACATATGCAGTTGAAGTTCAACGTACCAATCGCCCGGAAGAATTAAGTGAAAATGGGCGCCTATTCCAATAACACGCGGTCTCTTGATGGAGCAAACAAGTGATTATCTAGAAGCCCATCGGGCAGCGACTGACGCGTTTTATAGGATTACCATTCTCGTCGAATTTTTCCATCTCTGCGAGTTTGTTAGGTGATATAGCCGGGTGTCCAGGCGGCAGCACCAATTCGCCTGGTGTTTTTCTAGTCAAATACTCTAGCATTCCATTAAGCACGCCAACTGCATAACATCAAACAACAATTTAGCAATACTGCTGAACTCTATCTACACTTGATATCGCACTTGTCAAGAGAACGGATCCTGTCACCATGGAAGGTGAGAATAGACGCAGTTGCGTTACTGACGTCAGATCTTCGTCAAACAATATCATTGCAAAAGAGAGCAACCCCGACAATGCCATAGTACAGATGCCCGAGGCCGCCATCAACTATATCTCGCAGATGTGAGGTATGAATTTCTAGCACGCAGCAAAAATCAATGAACAACATAGATCACCATACTAAGGAAGCGTCATTTGTCACGACGGACAAAACAGACGATCTCGATGAAGGAGAAGTGATCGGTGGATCCAACGCTTTGCTACCTTGACCAGGTAATTTACGCAATTTAGCACTCATTTCGAAATACACTGAACTTCGAAATACACTGAACTTCTCAACGCAAATTTAAGCGATATGATAGACCAACACAAATACCTCATAATAGTGACACAGAGAAAAAAACCGGGCGGATCAGGAAAACAAAAAACGTAGTTACGATAGAGAAGCCTTGGTGTAACAATCCCACTCACTACAGCGCAGACCAGACGCATTCTCAATACTTTCAATCAAAATGCTTACAGTGCGCAGAGTAACGTGGCATGCGGCAATGTTAGTGTCTGGTCATAGCGAATATAATATTATCATTGCTAATGAATTAAATGTACACTTAAACGAGACGAAACTCTACCAATACAATCGGATAACATTCTTTGCTGATCATACGGGATCCCCATCGTCTTTGCCCCTTTCCTTAACCTGAAATCTGGTCTGATCCTACCTCCGCGACCGGAAACATTGACCTGTCCACTTTAGTCTCATGCCTCTCTGCAATATCCCACGCATATTCTTCTTCACTTTTCGCTTGTATTTACCGTCAAGCTATTAGAAAACTATAATCATAAGCGTATGAGCATGTGGCGTTGCGAGTGAATGTAACTCAAAAACCTCACCGACCCATCGCACATGGTTTCACAGGATAAAGAGTATGCATCACAACAGTAACATGGATTGGAAGTGCATACAGAAAAAGGGTCCGTCCAACCAACCTGATGGTTTATCAGCACTCCTCAACTTCCGCAGAAACGCGTTGTCGAGTATGCGAGGCGTTAGCTTGTCTTTACTTCTCCTCGCAGTCATCGCTTTAGTCAATCCAAGAAATTCAATGTCGAAATTAGTGGCTCCCAACGTCCAGCTTAATCGCGCTTTAATGGCTGGTTCGAACGATTCTCAAGCAAAAAAGTCAATGAGAGTGGTGAAGAAGGTTGGTGAAGACAATAACGGTGAAGAAAGAGGGTCATTCGCTGACATTTTCAGAAGAATTTGGGAGAAAATTTGCGACTTCTTTGCCAAGATTTTCCGGACACGAAAGAGTATATCTAACACTGATCACCAAGAGATGACAGCGCAAGATTTAGAATGGTTTAATTATTTAAACTACAAACGAGCGTCACATGTGCATCAAGAAAACCCTCCGAAAATACTAACGCCGCATGAAATCATTTTGACCACACTTTCAAAACGAAAGTCGAAGTCTCCGTTTGATGCGATCGTGCAAACTCCATTAGAATTGTCGCCAGACGCCGAAGCGGAGGTTGCCGCGCTGGTGAAAGCCGGTACCCGCCTAGACACGAGAATTTTGCTCAATGGAGCGGGAACTGTCAACGAATCTCGGCTCAAGGATTCAACTTATAATAGTTTGGCTAAATATATCATGATATTTGAGCTGACTGCCGATGAATATCATGGGCAGGACATTTATGGAGTTGAAAAGCTCTTAGAGTCGAAAGCTGTAAAAGAAGAAGAACTTGTCTCATACATCCTCAATGAAACAGACATCGAAGGCTATGCCCCACTTTGGAAACCCATCCTCGAGCGATTGACAGCTGGTCTGCTGACTAAGTGGCTGAAGGATAAAATGCCTTCACTAGACGTCATGGATACGTTGATGGCAGAGTCAGAATTCCGTCCCACTTTCAAATTTTGGAAGATGTATGATCAGTTGAAGAAAACAAGCAAATAAGTCGCACTTTTGTTGAAAGAATGCGCAAGTTGTAAAGATGCCGTGACCAGGTACATGAAGGCTAGCTTTTCTTTTATTCATGTCGCCCTAGATGTCTTATTGATAATAGATCGAAACTTCGTACCTCTAACATGAATGTTTTTATCGTCTTGCGTGAACATTTGCTGTCATCATCCTGATGAATAGCACATCTTAATCAAAAAGTTGCTAAAAAATAGGTGACAGTAGAGCTTATGCAACGAGACCTGAACTACAGCTATCACGCTCATCATGTCATCTCATACGAGCTCATATTATCAGCTCCAATTATTTGCAACATCAACATTTGGCACACCGTCTATCAATCACTTCGTTACCATTATTTTGTTCATCATCACAAACAATTTTGACGATGTTCGTGTTTGGAAGAGCACACATTGTTGTCTGAACAGCCCTGAAACGGCACCTCGATTTTCCTACGGCCATAGCAGCAGTAGCGACAGCTACTTGCGGTGACTGAAGCTCTTGCCGAGACTTCATGGTTGCAATGATGTAGTAATTTTTATCACCTATGCAAAGTTCGTCGGCGTATAGCTATTAATACAATGCGAGCAGCTGAGCAGATCGTAAAACACAACGACAAACATGTCGTAACACTGGTCAGGACTTGTGCAGCTAGTCTAAAGCCTTGTCTTTCCGCTGACTTTCATGAAAATTACACCTTTGTTGAAATGTGAGGGCTGTATATCTCGTTAAGCGCAAAGCTGTATTCTATCTCGAATGAGCAGCAATTGCACGAGGTAGAAAACACGATCCAGAAAATGTTGATTCAGGTAGTCTTCCGACGAACAAACCATGACACCCAGTTCAGAAACAAAGGACCAGATTGTTCGATCGACAGGATCTCAGCGAAAAAGTTATATTTGCTAAGCCTTTTTGCACTCTTAAACTACGACGAGAAATAACTTACGGTACCTTGTGCATGAGTAACAAAAGCTAGATGGAACAGGGGCTTAGTACAACCATCTTCAGCGTTGCGCTGTCTAGCCGGAAATGTTCGATCTCGTTGCGGTCAGAATTTTAAACCGGAAAGATTCCCAAATGTCGAGAATGTGCACGGTCGCACCAAAAAATGCGTGATAACATAACGGATCGATAAGTAGCTAACATTTTATCTCTCGCGCGTGTGAAAAACTTTCACGTTGTTATGGAGACTCAGAGTCAATCGCATGTAAGAGTTCGTATTTACGGCATCAAATTATTTCCACATATGCATACCTTGCTTTTGAAGGGTCGGGTGATGCTAAAATTGCTCAAGATTAGATCGAAAAAACTATTTGCGGAGAGTCAACCTCGCAAAGGTATTGAGTATTGAGCAACCTTTTATTGTCCAGGGGCAGTTTGGTATAGCCCATCTACCATTTTCGATTTTAATGAGAAACGAATTTCGTCTGCGCTGAGCTCACTGACACAAGTGGAGTCAACTTCTTACAGCAGAACTTTTTTTTGAATAAAGTCAGTATTCAACACACCTATAAATCGTAGTCGAGTCTGGGTTTTAGGTATTTTATCACAAAAACCCGTTCCTCATTTTTATGAAAAAAATGTTTCCTTTGGGTTTTATGAAACACAGACTAATTTCGAGCCAAACGCAGGTCCCAAGCGGACTTTACAGTCCATATTCTCCTCGTTCTTGTGTTCTTGCCATCATCACAGCGGCTAGTAGCGTGGTACCCCCTTGACGGCTAAATCAATGACAGACTGCAACCAAGCAGATGTCTCCGTCGATCTTGCCCTTGACGCATCCGCCGTTAATCTTGCTAGAGAATGCGTTGGTGCTGCAGCAGTCCCTACTAAAAAATGGGGGGGGGATAAAAGTCAAAGACGTTTGGTGTTTAATTACTGACTTTTTGCAACCACATAAAGCACAGTCTACCACCTGTAAACACTGCAAAGACTGCAAAGGCTGCGTCACTTATCGACTTGAATCGGAACGTGCTAGAGCTCAGTTTTGAAGCCATTTTTTGAGTCCATGATGTAGCTTGAGGTTGATGAGTGCCCCGAATTGTTTGTCTCGTCGTGCTTGAAGAAGAGAAAGCAATCTGGATCAATTGCAAATCACTCGACAAACACAAACCAGTCTTCTTTACACAATTACATTCTATCGGATATCTTTAAAAGAAAAAAACATATAGCTAGTTGTCATGCACTATTCTATCACTGGACCATCCTTCCATCGCATTGAAAAAGAGAATTTACGAAAAGGGCCATATGGCTCAACTTTTTGCCGACGATCTTAGTCCTGTCATTTAACGCTTGATCTTTCTATTACTGGAGCTATAAAACCGACGATACTACCACAGAAAGTGGGCGTGGAAATTGCTGCAGTAAAATATCCTGGAGTGTTCTTAAACGAGTTTGTGAGCCACGGCCTACATTTCATCCTGAAGGACATTTTTGCAGCCACCAAAAGCAAGCGAGGAAGAGCTGTCTCAGACTATCTCGATGGTAACTTATTCGAGTATTTGTTTACATTCGCTTCTAACTGTAAATAACTCGTATATCATTCTTTTCATATCAAGGCAAAACTTATTGAACAACAAAAAATGAGGAAGTGCCGGCATTACTGTAACCTGCTGGCACAAGCCTGTAAAAAAGTGCATTTATTATTCATGGTATTTTTCATTATGAAATATTATAAAAACTCAGCTCAAGATTTCAATTTCAGTGCAGTCAATACGAAAGCAAGTGCTCAGAAAGTGTTCGATATCATTACTGATGCGAATTTCTTGTGTTATCTCGAGAAAAATATTGGTAGTTTAGAGCCGATGGACAAAGCAGTCATCATATTCCAGAAAAGTTTCGTACTTGCTTCTGGAGTATACCGCGCATTAAAATCCGACGATGCACAACAATTCTGACGCTTAACATGTAAAGACCCTTGGGAAAAGAGATATCTACTGAAAGTGGTCCAAGCGCGGCTATATTTCTTGTTCAGCAACGGGATAGTAATTATCAATAATCTGGATCCACGCTATCTGGGAGATAAAATGACCACGGAAGACAAAAAAGATGTTGAAGACTCTTTATTTGACGCGAGGCAATATGTACTGAATACGTCCAATTTCTGGTCAACGCATATAGGAATCGTGAGGAAAACGACTTTTGGTTCGAAAAGTTGTTGAAGCTTTCAAGATTAGATTGTCCTCGAATACTAGCTGATCGATTGGAATCCGATACCCTTTTATCAAAATGTTTCTTCAAGGTTGTAGTTTGGTTCCGCGTCTGAAAAATCTCTCAGCTGCTGGGTTTATCCATGTTGAAAAGGCGCCGCGTAATGAGAGCTGGACGAGCCAAGGACTCGTCGATTGATGGCGTGAAGGTGATCAATGGTCTGAAGATAGGAGATGACTCAACGAATGATGACTGGGATCGGCGATTCACGTATGACAAGATCTGATTAGGAGATGGTGATGTAAAAACTGGATGTGGTTGGGTCACATCCAAAACTCCCCCCACGACCATTCATCTTGTAGGGGCGTCGCAGGGAGAAGCTCGAGAGCGGCTGCTGCAGAGGAGCAGGGAATAAGAAGGGCGCACAGGAAGGTAGCTACGGACATGTAGGAAGGGTAGGTTGTGTAGCTGCTAACTAATTCACTTCGGCATTTGCCCTCCACTTCTCAACAATCCATTATTTCTCTGAGGACGTAAGTGTTAAAACCTAACTTAAATTTAGACCAACTCTGCGGGCTACTGTAGGCTTCTGAAAATGACTGTTCTAGAAAATCAGGAAAGTTAAATGGATGGCGTAGGCTGTTCTGATGAAGAAATATACCAATATAGTTTTATTAATGGCGTAGAAGCTATCGGCGATGAATGATGTCACCGGAAAGTGTTCATAAACACTTTTCTGACCCTTTATCCAAAACCCAAAGAGTCGGATTTGAAAAAATATGGGTTCTTGCCACCCAGCAATATATCTAGAGGTATGTATATATTCGATGTCGCAAGTCGGTACCATAGTCATGAACGTCCATCATATACAAGCAAAAGATGTAATTAAGCAGGTTCTAACTTGTAAGATGGCACATTTTTTATTCTAAAGATGCTGAATTTGTGTTGCCAAACATCTTCACTATGTCCAACGTGTCCATTATCTCGAGTGCTCGAGCCCTTACATTTGTACAAAATAATAATATATCAAGAGAATTTACCGCGACTTTTTTGTACTGCAATTGAAACAAAATACGTTGATTGAAGTGACCGTCACTCCTACTTCAGATGAGTGCGGACACCAGAACGAGTTATTGCACATATTGATCAGCCGACGTGTGCGTAAAGAAGAAGCCCTCTTGACGCATTGTCTTAATGGTACCTCGTGCACAGGCTACAACGTGTCGGCGGTGTTTGGTAATGAAAAAGTAGCGATGAGGGTAACCACTTCCAATCGGAGTAAAATGTTATGAACTGCAGATGTGTATATGTCAGATGCAATAACCGTCGTTTATTCGTTATGCTATCTGTCTCATCGACTGTGTAGCGCACAATCCATTCAGTCTTTCATTGTCTCAGCTTCTTGAGCATCTTTCATTAAATCACATTCTTGAAGCTTTTCCAGCAACTCTAACATATCCCCTCTGGTCTGCATGCTGGTCTCGTAAGACAGAATAAGATCACTTCTGCACTTACTCAGTTGAATTTCACGCTCTTCCAAATCAGCACGAAGCCGTTTATTATCGGTCTTGATACCCTTTATTTCTCGCAGTAGCTCGACAAGTTTCCCTTCTAGATAGTGAATTCTTTCTTGAACTGGGCTTTGATAGACAGAATTAAAACGTTGGTATAGCTCCACTACCGGAGTTTTTATGCCAATTTGCGAGGCTTTGTTCCGGTTGTCCGAGGACTGTGTGCGAAACAGCATTGTTTCTATGCGGCTTGTTGTTTTTCAAAGTGCTCGGTAATCAAGACCGCTAACTATCAAGCTTATTCAAGACGAATAATAAAGAAGTCATTTATTTAGGCCATATTATTAAACGTCATACTCATAAAAGACGATATTCATTCTAACAACAGATTATTTAGTCTACAAATTGCAAATTTTAAGATACAGCATTGAGCCTAGAATATCATTATTTGCAATAGATAACGTTGTGCATTTTATGTTGATATCATGTAGCGTGACGGAGCTCATCCGTCATCGAAGAGCTCTTTTCGGTCCTGCTGTCAAAATTAGCACAGAAAGAGATAAGCATCATGTTTACATTTAGAATTAATTAGGCCTTCGACATGATAATTTTATCTGCACTCAGAAACACTAATCGATCTAAATCTGATTGGGATGAAGCTCGACTCAGCGATAAAATTTTCTTTAAATGTGACCAAAATGCGACACCAGTGTGCCCACTCGGTGGATCGATCCCAAACGATCGTGCTGGTTTCTCCAGACTTTCTAAGGTAGATTTGACTTTTAACTAGACTGCTCGCTTTAAAAAGTAGCAATAGTAGTCAATACGCCGACAGTATTTTTCCTTACCGTAATTTACCACGAAAACATTCCTGAAACGAGAGCCACGAAGTTTAGAACCGCTCGGCTGTCGGAACACAAAGCAAGATTTTTAATATTGCAAGTCAATATCATATATACGAATAAATTATAACCATGTATGAAAAATGGAGGACAATATACCGAAGTCCAAAACGTTAGATCGATGCTACGCTCATTCTATCTCTGAATATTCAACACCAGAAATGAAAATCGATACAGCAGAGAGAATGGTCATGACTATACTCGACATCGACAATCATGAAGAGACTTACCCGCGGTCAGGCCTGTCTATACCAGACTCAGCATTATCGTCAATTAGACGCGGAATTCTTGTGGTAGTCGGCAATCCAGCACCACCAGATGAGTAAAGAGTTGTAGCAGGTAGTGCATTGGTCGTCGGCAAAATTGAAAGAAATCAACTTAACACACATAAGACACACAGTTTTCACTTACTTTCACGTAGGAAACATTTTCCCTTGATAGGTTAATAATGTACGCTCCAGCATTGACGAGCGCAGTCTGGATTGGGCAATTGATATCATCATACGAGTAAATACCGTCTTAAGGAATATAGAAGTAGTAGTAGCAGTACGTACTACAACCTTGTTTTTTGTGTTCTGGAACTGAAACGAAACAATCTTGTACTCACTATTGTACATCGTGATCGATTGGATAGCGCGAACTATACCACGGAAGTCAGCAGCTGAATAGAAAACGAATTCTTCCAAATTGAAGTCGTTTCGAGTTGAACTAGATTAGTACGTCAAATTTCGCCATTGTAATATTATATGAATCTATCAATAATTCTGGTCAATGAGATAGATTTTGTTAAAGATTTGTTTGGTAAAGTTGTAGCAAATTTGGACGTCAACAGAATCAATAAGCACAATCTATCCATTACGCCCCATGAGCTAAATGTAGTAATAAACGATCGATTGTTCATCAACACCCTTGATATCAAAGTACTTCACAACCAAATGTAAATCACGCTTCTAATCGCCATTAAGATCGCTGCATATTTGGAATAAAGCGAATCATCTTGTCGGCTTAAAATTCAATTTGAAGTGTTGGCCCTTTGTTAAGTAGTGTGAAAAAATGGTTTCTTGCAGCAGATGTTCATTGTGGTTACAAGCTCAGGTTTGTTAGAAGTAATAGGGAGTTGACAAACTTGATCTACGCTTGGATGCATATCTGGATCAGCAGACGTAATGAATCCATCCATTTCTTGGTGAGGATTGAAGCAACACCTTGGAAAACAAGCAAAAGCGTGAGGAAAAGGCTTGTGAACTAAGCACATAGTTTTTTCCCCCGCTGAACGATGGTCCAAGGACCACACTTTTAAACTTCTTTATAATGTCAAGCCGCTGGATATTACTGAATTGTATTTTTTCGGTTGAGAACCACCGGAGTCAGGAATAGCGCCCACTATTGTGTCCTTGGTCACTCGATCTATATGGTTCGAAAAACATCAACGATGAGCTCAGGTTTTTCATATTTGCAAACAATTTTCCAATCACTGAAATATTACCCCGCATTTTATCTGACGTTGGTATAAATACGCTCAAATACAATATTTAGGAAACAATGATTATTGTTTTTTAATATACTGTAAAACAATTGTTGAAGTGAAAACTCAAACATTTCAAGAGCAAAGTATCACACACGTTTCTTCAAAAGCAAATTTTGCCAACTGGATCAATGTGCTAAGAAAGCAACCGTCGAAAATATTATTGAAACATCCAGTCTATGATTGAGTCCAAGGAGCACAGAATAGCGATTCTTAGTAAGGTATCACAAATTATTTTCCTTCAGCGGAATAATATTATTGGATATTTTTATCACAACAGCTATTTATCAACGTGCTCATCTAAATAATTAATCTCACTCGGCGTCAAGCGCTCGACCTTCACTGATCACTTGATAAGATTTATAAGATGTTGGTAGACTTAGCCATTTGGTCTGTGCAGTATAAGCGAAATCGCTGCTAGTAATACTTAAAACATTATGCCGGCAGTTTTTTTTCTTCGAGATCGACAGCAGCAATTTCAACGACGCAACCTCTTGACCAGCTTAGAGCGAAAACTACGACTTTTCGATATTAAAATGGTTTTACAACTGCTCAACCACTGAGATCTAACAGCCGCGATTTGACGATGGAACCTCTCAATTATCTTATAGCGAGAGCGACGCCATTTCGATATTCGGGCGTTTAGGCCGCCAACGTTTGAGTTAAATTGAAATATATTTTCAGCTCAAGATTAGTTCGAACCAGCGCGATGTGGTATCTTATCATTATTTGATTTTTTGCTGGACCATCATGTCCGCTCAAGTACCATACCAAGATTTGCCGGCTCAAAAAAAGATGGTGAAGCTCTTCTGTGCAATCGTTGGTGAGGCAATGCTTTTAATGTAGACATTGACGCGGATCAGTCTGCTGGAGACCTAAGGGACACGATAAAGGCCAAGAAGTCAGACACGATCAAGCGCGATGCAAACAGGTCAAAACGCTTCTTGGCAAAGGCGGAGGGTGGCGCGTGGCTGTATGCGGCTGGTGCGGCTACTGTGACGCTTGATGAATTTAAATACCCCCAAGGCTGCGTGCAGATGAAATGGTCAGTGGGGATCAAGAATCCCATGCTCTTTGGCGATAATTATCAGCCGGACGAAGACTAAGCTCACGTAATGGTGGTGGTTCTGGTACGCGTCGTAGAGGATGGCGCATGGAACCAGATGAACTTGTCTTACGTGGATCTGTAAGCTCAATTGAGAGTATGAAAGTCAAATTTTTTAAAATCAATTGAGTGCTGACTTCATGAAGGAAGTCAAACGGTATCTGGAACGCCATCGCCGGATGAAAACAAATGGAAGGAAAGGGATGGACACTTATGTTATTGCTGAGAAGATGGCAAAACCCGAATATATATAGGTCCTTAGTTCGCTACTCTGTGCTACCTCTAAGGCTGTCTTTCTAGATCATTCTAGAAGCTTCTTAATGTAACCGTTATCAGTATCCGTAATCAAGACAGTAATTGTAAACATGACCGTAATCCTCGTGACGTCAACCCCAGCAGTGTAAACTTAACACTCACACTCACCGCTAATGTTAGTGTGCTCTGTCGCTGCCTTGGTCTTGATCCTTGCTACCTCTCGCAGAAACTTGAGCATCTCGGTCCCAAGTGCCTACGATAGCATATCTGCAAGCTGACTACTCGTATCGATGTAGCCAGTCTTGAGTAATTCATGCTGAACGCTCCGACTAAAGTTTTGCCTAATGCCCACGTGCTTTGTACGAACATGGTAGCCTGCATTGTTTGCCAATACTATCACACCTCGGTTGTCTTCCAATATTTGCGTGCCTCCTACTTGTTCTTGACCCAAGTTCTTGAGCATTGCGCGCGTCCAAAGTACTTCTTGTGATCACAAGCTTAGCGCCATATACTGCGCTTCTGCGGAACTTAGTTCGACGGTTCTCTGATACTTGGACTTGAACACAATTGGAGCTTTTCCAATATTGATCAACACACCTGAGGCAGACCGTCTGTCATCAGTGTTCTATCTCAGCTTGCTTCCGAAAAAGCTTCAACATCCAACTTCCAGTCCCTCCCTGGCAAATGATCCCGTCGAGTTTAAGTAGCGTAGTACACGAATTACGGCGTTTCAATGTGATAACCCCGGATTCTCGAGAAATCGAGACAGCTGTGTAACGATACATGCGATGTCTTGACGCAAAGAGTTGCACCTCACACAGCTGATCAAGATGTTGCCGTCTATGTGGCCAACCTTATTGTTGATACGGCCAGTTGGAGCTGTATCGGCAGTCAGCAGTCAGCTGGCAATTGCAGAGACCACTTAGAACCTTTTGCTCTTGCAGCAATGTATCCAAGCGCTCAAGTGTCATGCCATTGTTTCTCCTTAGCATTCTAATTTTTGTATTTTCATATGCGCCTAGATGGAAATTGAAATGCGTGAACCGGCTTTTCAAAAGTATATTGAAGATTTTGAAGCAAGTCTGATATGAGACTTTCTCCGAAAGATCAGTTAGTGACACCCCATCCGCAAAATTATTTAGATCTAAACGCTTGAGAAATCTCGTTGAGCCTTGGTAGCCTTGCTGAATGGAGCGACGTCGAGGTTGTTGTATCATATCAATACGTCCTTAATGATTTCAACTCGTTGCGGTCCCACACGAACTTCACTTGTTCTTAGTCATTCATAATGACGCTTGCACTTATTTGCATTGTACTTATGAATTTTTACGAATACATCACCGATGTATTGAAACGTATCCGCAAGTAGCATCATCGGGCCATCATTTACGAACAATGCCCCTCCTCGACCAAACTATCAGCTACTGATACAGGCAACGAAATGTGCAT